GATAAAATTAAGCTTTTGTTTGTATGTTTATTTCTCACTGTGTAAATATTTGTTTATGACTTTAAAACAATATTTTTGTGATTATTTTGTAAAAATCACGATCATAATATGCGCGGATCTACTCGATCTTTGCAACAACCGCTTGTAAATACGTAATATGTTTGGAACACCCAACCTTAAGGTACAATTGAAGGAAACTTATCAGGTTTGTATTGTTTAATTTTTATTCCAGGATAAATCTTTATTTAGAGAGTACCTTTAGTAAGTGTAGAGTTAATCGCTTTGTAAAATAAAAAGTTTCATACAAACTGTAACACCCTATTTCACTCCCTTAGAGGTTGAGTTTACCAAAATTCATTTTTAATGTATGCCTACGTTATAAAAGGCACATACTGTCCTACGTTTAGCGGTTTGGGCTGACAGATATGCTCGTTGATAGAGAAACATGTTGAAATTTAGGGTGACAACCCATCTATAGTCTTCCTTGGTTGAAGTTGTCTGCCGTGCCGGTGTCCGTGGTCTGCAGTAGCCACTTATCACTAGCACAAAAATGTATCCCACGATTATATCCACTGACAAGAAATAAAATTATCTTCTCCTTAAGCCAAAGCGCGACAACGGGGAGAAGTATAACCCCGTTTGACATAACGTAGCATTACGTGGTAGAGCCAAGCTGCAGCTATATTTATAGTATAGTTGTAGCACGAATGAGTCGGCTCGACCGGGGAAGGACCACGCTCTCACAGAATACCAGCGTGAAATAGCAGCATGCTGCTGTGTTTCGTATGGTGAGTGTAGAGAACCGGAGACCCTTTTTACTGGAAAAGAGGCATTCCATCTTAGTCCTCAAGGCTGACAACACATCTGCATTTTGATTCGTAAATGAGGATGGATGAGATGATGAGATGAGAGATGTATATGGGCCTCAGCAACTACTTACCATCAGGTGGAGTGTGTGCTCGTTTGTAATCCTATTTCTATAAAAAAATAGAGCCAAATGAAAGATAAAATATTATGATTTTTTGACATTTGGACGGGACAATTTTATCCTAGTTCATTGGACGTGGGTCTAAGTTTATATTCATACAAAAAATCTATCTAAGTCTAAGTCTATCTACTGAGGATATTACATCTACCGGTGTGTCCATGCCCGAAGGGTGGATAAAACTAAGCAAGGGGATAAACATTTTCTCCTTTCCTCGGGGATAAAATGTCTCCTGCCCATGTTAGCCCTGCTGGTGTACAATAAGTTCGATCGTCACTTTAATTTTATAAAAAATGTATTCGTGTATGTTAATGAAAAATGATTATAGAGTAATATTAAAATAATATACAATATTTTATTACACACAATATTAAAAACTATGATTAAAAAAAAGCTAAAACTAGTTACTAACTTTATTATCATACAGTACTACTCCTCGTGGTATCGTGCCAAGAACGCTGGCTGCGTTTCCCCGCTGAATGGCTATACTTAGCCTTTGACCGAGAAAACAACCAGCCCTCTTATTACCAGCAGCAACAACCAGCCACGGATGGAGTTCCTTTAGGAATTTCACCGCACGTGGACCCCACGGATCGATATTTTCTACAGAAAATGGCACAAATATGTAGTCAAGCAAGATAAAAATATTAGAATTTCTTTAATAAAAAACAAATGCTAATTTAGCACTAATAAGTGCTTTAATGTCGGAAAGGCCTCCCTCAAGGAATGCTTTGTGGCATGCTGTCGAGCCGACCCATCCGTACTGCAATCACAGTATAGCTGCAGTATGGCTCTACCAAACTGGACTAATATAGAATGCCTCATAGCTTGTAATTATATTGGCTCACCATTATTTTCAGGCCGGAACATAGCAGTGTCATGCTGCGGCAGAGATACCTAAGAACACTAACACCTATATAAGAAAAATCTCAATAAAAAAAAATTCTGTTCGTTAGTCTCGCTAAAATTCAAATACGGCTCTACTTTTGTGTTTGAATGGGCCCCTGGATGGTTTAGATTTACTATTGGACCCGATAGGTGGCGCTGTTGTGGAGATCCAGAAATCACCCGTGCGAAGCCGGGGCGGATCGCTAGTTAAATATAAAAAATATTCCGTTAATTTGCTTAGATGATGGCTTTTTATTTTAGATAGCTGGGTCCCAATCCTAAATTCAGGTTATTCGCGCCACTTCGCAACTAACGCCTAACGCTTATGAGATTAGTTAATTATTATCCAATGAGAATACTGCAAAACTTCTTTCCAGGTTTCCTATGGGTTGTGAGAACCCATAGGAATCATAGTCATATCTCGCAAGACACGAAAACAACCGCACCGCCTGTATCTCGCGTCATCGCTTCCGCCGTGGTGTAATTTAGATATTAAACTATACAAAAATATAGTAAAGTATATAGACATTTGCTATATCCTATATTTCGCGATAATCTGTGAAGTTTATATGTGGAGACGGCCGGCATCCAGCCAACGTGACCGCAGCCCTGGAGACACGCGCCAAATTAGCAGAAGTCCAGGTGAGTGCTCATGCATTCCTTCACATCCTTCATGTAGCCCGAATTTAGCAACGCAATAGTAAATCCTCATACATATTATGTCATACAGTCCGGAATATACGTAAAATCATCTTTTTCTTCATTCATCTTCTTTGGCGGGTTGAAGTATGTTTTAATGGAAACACGCTTCAAGATGTAGTCAATCTTACCAGTTACACCTTTGACATATGACAGTACAGCAGGCACTCCTCGCTCGACTGGGACCGGCTTCACTCGTTCACTGTGACGTAGGCGCGGGACCCGAAGCTTATCTTCGTGCAAAACTTGCTTGACGTGTTGGAGCTCGGCAGCCAGGTGTGCTCTCTGAAACATAGAGTTACCTACGGTAGCTAACTGTGAAGAACGGTGATGAGAATCACCGTTTAAATATCTATCTGTATGGGTCTTTTTTCTATACACAGTGTGGCTCAAGGTGTTATTAGGATTCTGAATTACTGACACATCTAGAAAAGCTAAATAATTGTTTTCCTCTAATTCGATTATGAACTGAATTTTAGAATTTATGAAGTTAGGATAGTCTAAAAATGCAGTTACTTTATTTAAAGGTAGAATTGTGAAAGTGTCGTCTACGTACCGCTTGTGAATCTAGGATTTACGAAGAAATAGGCAGGGCTTCCTTCTCAAAGTCTTCCGTGAATATATCGGCGACAATGGGAGATACAGGTGAGCCCATCGCCACACCATCTACTTGCTTGTAGAACTCTTCCTTCCACAATAGGTAGCCAGATGTAAGGCAGTGTCTGAGTAATACTGCATATTCTACGGGCATGTTGTTTTCGTCCAGCCTTCTAGTTATAATTAAGATGCAGGCTTCAACAGGTAAGCATGTGAACAGAGACTGCCCACCAAAACTGACCATAGTTTCATTGTCTGCCTGATGTAAGTCTTTAATCTCGCTGACAAAATGGTAGGAATCCTTTGTGTGTGCTCTTGTATGTCTCCTAAGCGGTATATATGCGAGAGTATTTTCGCTAAGTATTGAGCCAATCTGTAAGTTGATGAATCGATTTGGCTCACTATGGGACGTAGTGGAGCATTGGGCTTGTGTATTTTGGTAACCCGTACAACTTCGGTAGTTTGGCACACGTAGGTATTATCGATTTTACGACCAGATTTAATTTTTCGGAGTGTTTCTTTATGAGGTCACTAGTTGTTTTAAGTGTGTTATTTGTTGGGTCGTTTTTAACATTTTTATAAGTGCTTGCACCCGAAAAAAGTTCTTGTATTTTAGAATTATAATCTGACGTAACCATGACTACCGTGGCATTTCCCTTATCTGCGCGGAGAATCGTGATTTCTGATTTATTGCGTAGGTTATTCAACGCTCTAAATTCGTCTTTGGGTAGATTCGGTTTCGGCGCTGAACTTCGATGTAACATAGACGAAATGTCTTGACGTATCGCTTCCAAATCTTCCTTTCGCATATTGTTTTTAAATAAACAGTCCTAGACACTGCGGATAATTTCTTCGTACGGTAATCTTTGCGTGTTATGGCGAAATTAAAGCCCTTCTATAATCTATAATACTCTAATTGTCGCATCATCCAGAGTTTAAAATTCGTAAAACTAGTTTTATTTAAATGACCCCCATTATTTAACGTGCAGCGATGAGCTCTTATTTTTTTTTATAGTATAAGGGTGACAAACGAGCACACAGTCCACCTGATGGTAAGTGGTTGCTGTGGCCCATAGACATCTACATCTATCCTCGATTACGAATCAAAATGCAAATGCGTTGTCACCCGTGAGGATTAAGATGGAATGCCTCTTTTCCAGTAAAAAGGGTCTCCGATTCTCTACACTCACCACACGAAACACAGCAGCATTAAGCTGCTATTTTACGCTGGTATATATTTATAACTCATAAATGTCGCCTTAGTTGAAATAGTTATGGTAAACATCAACAGAAAATATTTAAAACGCCATCGTGTAATTTATTACGATTGGATTTCATTGAGTTTTTTTTGCGCGGAACCCTAAATCTTTTTCAAAAAGAAAAGTTACTCCATAAAACATCTACCAGTGAAAGTCCCGTCAAAATCGGTTAAAACATTTCGGAAATTAACCGGAACAAACAGACAGACAGATAAAAATTTAAAAAAAATGTGTTTTTGTTATAAGTACATACCGTATATAATATGCATAGTAAAAAGCTGTTACTTTGACATTACTAACATACACTTCAATTTTGTTTATTTGTTTGTTTATAATGTTGATCCTCTCAACAATTTATTATAAGTTAAGTCGAAAAAATAATGCTTGATTACATTTTTATGATAAAACCTACAAGGTTCAAGACTCTTAAGATAAAAGTCAAGGTTTATCGATTAGTCCATGACACTTTAATCGTAGCTTAATAATAATGCTTTCGATTACTCGAATTGTGTTAGTCACTTCCATATCGTTCTTCCTGACACTAGTGTCGTAATTTTTATTATTTTAACAAAATGGTGTACGATTTAAACGGTAAGGTAGTTTTGATAACAGGAGGTGCTGAAGGGATCGGCGCGGGCGTGGTGCGATGTTTGCTCGAAGAAAACGTACAGGTAAACTGTGAAATGATTTATTCAGACGTTCTCTTTTCATCCGATTACCATGTTGGTGTTTCAAGGCAAGAGTGAATACTTATTAAGCTAAGGCGATAAGCTGTACCACCTAAATCTCACCATCAGATGGAATATTAGGCTAATATTAGGCTAGAATAGGCTAGAACTTATTATACGATATATATACGGTGTAGCCATCAGCAATTTCCTAACAACATCTGAAATAAAACTACGGTTGCCAACCTGCCTGCCAAGCGTGGCAACTGTGGAGAATATCCCCCCCATCCCAAAGCTTATTTTCTGCAGTGGACTTTGATAGATTGTAATGGTAACGGTTATAATGCGATAAAAATGAATCTGTACCTTTTTACTTACATCTTAACTTATATTTACGTACATGTGACGCTAGAAATTGCTCCGAAGTGTAAGTTGACGGTTCCGTGGCGCAGTGGCTTAGCAATGAGTTGCTGCGCTGGAGGCCGCGGGTTCGAATCCCGCACGGAACAAGTATATGTATGACCTACAAATAATTGTTCCGGGTCTGGATGTTTGTCCTTGTGCAATTTGTGTTTGTAAACTGCCTCTGCGATACAGGAGAAAATCCTAGTGTGGGGGTAACGTTTTTTTCATGTTTAACGTGGTAGAGCCATGCTGCAGCTATATTAATTGTATAACTTTAGCACGAATGGGTCGGCTCGACCGGGGTAGTACCACGTTCTCACAGAATACCAGCGTAAAATAGCAGCTTAATGTTGCTGTGTTTCGTATGGTGAGTGTAGAGAACCATAGACCCATTTTACTGGAAAAGAAGCATTTCACCTTAGTCCTCACGGGTGACAACGCATCTGCATTTTGATTCTTTATTGAGGATAGATGTAGATGTCTATGGGTCACAGCAACCACTGACAAAAGCCTATACACTTGCCTTAAAGACATCCACATTGTAATCGGATGGAAAGACATATGCTGGCAAGTTATTCCACTCCTTTGCTGTCGTCAGTAAACCGTTTGATTCGAATGCGTAAAGCTATGTCGACAACAAAGGAGTGGAGGCTGGTCAAGCGTCTGGTCGATGGAAGGGAGGAATTATGTCATGAAATTCCTGCGCATACTTTCGCATTTGCATTGAAGTGTAACTTGTCGATTGTAACTTAACTTTTTTATTTTCAAATAAACTTGATTCCATTTTGCGCACGTACATAATATTTTCATTAAAAACACACAAAAACATTAAAAACAAGAGATAGATAATATAAAGATAAGATAAATTTGTGATATGTGTTGAAATATGAGCCGTGCAAGTAAGTTACAATAAAACGAAAAAATGTTCTAGTTTCTTTTTATCGAAAAATTATGAGTGATAATATAAATTATTAAAAATGATAAAACAATTATTGTTTTAATATTCATTACGCGCTATGTTATCAGTTAATACTTTTGATTTTACCCTTGTGTGTGCATCTTGAAAAGCTGTGTCCAATCGTGAACTATTAAATAGAGCAATAGGGCGATTACAATAATTCATTACAGTCTATCAACAGTCCACTGCTGAATAGGCTTCCCACACGTATCGTCTCGTAGGTGGATTTGCCATAATTGCCACACTTGAAGGTCCCTAAGTCGTATCGGTCCGGGAAAATCGTCAGTGGTAAACAACTCCACAGAGAAGTTGTACGAGGAAGAAAACTCCAAGTAAAACACACAGCCGTAGACGCCAAGCATCCAGATGGCGAGGATGGTATTGTGAATTTTGACGCGATGTGCGGTCGTTAAATTTGGCGGCTGGAATTAATCCGAAATATAATATATACTACACGGTAAAGTCAATAGGGCGATTAGTGTCGAAAAAATATTTATTTATTTATTACACCTTATATTACATTACATTAGAAATGTTAGTTTAAATTTTTGGGATGTCTTTTAAATTAATATGTTTTATTTCGCAGCACGTTGCAATTTTGGATGTCGCAGTAGATTTAGGAACAGCTTTACAAAATGATTTGAATAACAAATACGGTAAAAATAAAGTAAAATTTTTCAAATGCGACGTGACTAATGAGGATGAGTTGTTTGGAGCCTTTGCAGCTACCCGGGACGCACACGGATATATAGATGTGGTCATTAACAATGCCGCTATAATGAACGACACTCAGCGTTGTTATAAAAAAGAAATAGAAATTAATTTTGTAAGTAGTTTTGCAAGTAAGTACTATATTAATATTTGATACCACGATAAGAGGTTCAAAAAGTTCATATCTAGTTAAATTTATGTAACCATTCATAATGCTTTACGGAACAAAATTTTGAATCTCCGTCTTTGAAATACAATATTTTTTTGAAGTCCAAAGGTATTTTGTTAAACATGGTTAAATAAAGTTTGAAGTGACAATACAATACAATACAATACAATACTCTTTATTGTACACCAAGAAAAGATAACAACATCAAAAATAAAAAATAACAACTATTGAGGGAAATACAAAGGGCGGTCTTATTGCTACATAGCAATCTCTTCCAGACAACCCAGAAGAAGAAATAAATACAAAATAAGAAAAAGAACAATGGGTAGGGTGCACTAAAATAAAAAATAAAAATAATAAAGACAAATAAAAATAAAATAAAGATACAAACTTATGCATTTGACGTGTGTGACGTTGGTTTTACCTGACTGCCCTGGAGCCTAAAGAGAACCGAATATTTTGGGAAAGTAATATTTATATATGTCCGCTTCTACGAGTATGTTCATCTGTAACGCCTAAATTAGACTACTTGCTTGAATTTCGACAAATGATATCTTAATCGAGTTGACATAATTTCGCAAGTAAGTAAGTAAGTAGATATACGAGTATACATCTGTAGAAAAGTCTTGTCTGTAATTCTAATATATACTCTTGACAAAACTAGTCCAGGGGACAAAATTAAGGGTACTGACGCTAAATTAGTGGTTTTTAGAATTTCTGTGTCTTTATGTCAGTCTGTCTGTCTGTCTGTGTATTACCGAATCACGCCAAAACTACTGAACCGATTTCCAATAAATTTTATATGTTAATAATTAATATAATACCTACGTTTATCAATTATAATATACTACGCAAGGAACTTCGTTCCAACCGAGTGTTCCACGACACTCACGCATTTTTTTATTTTAAATGACGCTTCATTTTAATAGACGCTTATAATACATTGATTTGTATTTGTTAATCAATAATATAATACGTTTATTAATATAATAAGGAACTTCGTTCCAACCGAGTGTTCCACGACACTCACGCATTTTTTTATTTTAAATGACGCTTCATTTTAATAGTCGCTAATAATACATTGATTTGTATTTGTTAATCAATAATATAATACGTTTATTAATATAATAAGGAACTTCGTTCCAACCGAGTCTTCCACGACACTCACGCATGTTTTTATTATTTTATATTACTATTTTCATCACTTTACAAGTGATAGGGATCGCAGTTGGGATAGTAGTCAGACTGTAACATAGGTAAAACAAATTGGTGATGCACAAAATTTACGTTTTTTACGTGTTTTGCGTAGACCATATGTTTGTAATGATTAAATTTCAAATATTTTCCCTTTTTACTTTCAGACTGCTTTAGTTACTAGCACTTTAAAGGCTCTTGAGCTGATGCGGAAAGACAAGGACGGCAAAGGCGGCGCTATCATAAACATGTCATCTGTGGCAGCCTTGGAACAGTCTCCAATGTTACCCATTTATTACGGAACAAAGAGTGCTGTACTTCAGTTTAGTTGCTGTCTTGGTGTAAGTTGCTTCATTTGTTCCTTCCTGTGATTAATCATACGCGTCCGTTTGTCGATGATATTTTGTTTATTTCAGTTGCCAGATTATTACGACAGGACGGGTGTACGGATGATTACAATGTGTTTCGGCAAAACAGACACCGCCCTTTTGTCTGAGAAAAAAATTGCTACCTTTGACGAGGTCATTGAAAAGAATCTTCAAAAGTATTTGGGAGCATTCCAAGGGCAAAAGTTTGTATTTTATTCTAAGGATGAAATAATTGAATACCTACTTCTGCAATATAAAATCTAATTATTTTATGACAAAGATTAAAATTAAATTAAAATTAAAACATAAGTAAACATAATAAGGCGCCATGTAATGCGATATGGCACTAAAAATGGGATTGTGTGCTTTTTTATAGGATAGGCTGACAGACGAGCACCCAGTCCACCTGATGGTAAGTGGTTGTTGTGACCCATAGACATCTAAATTTATCCTCAATAAAGAATCAAAATGCAGATGCGTCGTCACCCGTGAGGACTAAGATGGAATGCCTCTTTTCCAGTAAAATGGGTCTTCGGTCCTCTACACTCACCATAAGAAATACAGCAGTGTCAAGCTGCTATTTTACGCTGATATTCTGTGAGAGCGTGGTCCTTCCCCAGTCGAGCCGACCCATTCGTGCTACAACTATACTACTAATATAGCTGCAGCATGGCTCTACCACGTATAAGCTGTGCACGATAAGCCACTAATTATATTATCTCTTGGGTATCTTAAGAGGCGACACACGGAAATTAAACAGGGGATAAGCAGCAGCATCTTTCTCACAACCAATTTGCCAATCCGCTTGCCAAGCATGGCAACTATGGCTAATATCCGAGAATATCTCTAAAATTTTAAGTACATTTTATAGTTTTACACAAAGCAAACAAAATTTAATCTTTTTTTAGAGTAGAATCAGCAGCGCGTGCAGTGGTGCAGGCCTGCAAGCTGGGTGAAAGCGGCAGTGTGTGGTTCTCAGGCAAGGATAAACCGGTGAAAGATGTTACCGATTTTGTTAAGGAAGCCTACGGAATCATGACGAAAGGTGCCGATATGATGTAGATTCATTGCAGCAAACTCTCAATATATAAATTTAAATAAAAAAAGTATTTTATTTGCAATTTCTTTTATGTGTGTTCTTTTTTTAATACTAGTAATGATATTAAACATTAATAACACACACACACACACGCGCGCGCGCACACGCGCACTCACGCACACACGCACACACGCACACACGCAAACACGCACACACGCACACACGCACAAACGCACACACACGCACACGCGCACACGCGCACACGCATACACGCACACACGCACACACGCACTCACGCACACACGCACACACACACACACACACACACACACACGCACGCACACACGCACACACGCACCCACGCACCCACGCACCCACGCACCCACGCACCCACGCACACACGCACCCACGCACACACGCACACACGCAACAACACACACACACACGCACACACGCACACACGCACACTCACACACTCACACACACACACACACACACACACACACACACACACACACACACACACGCGCACGCACGCAAGCACGCACGCACGCACGCACGCACGCACGCACGCACGCACGCACGCACGCACGTAAGCAAGCACGCAAACACGCACGCACGTACGCACACACGCACGCACGCACGCACGCACGAACACAAGCACACACGCACGCACGCACGCACGCACGCACGCACGCATGCACGCACGTACGCACGCACGCACGCAGTCACGCGCGCACGCACGCACGCACTCACCCACGCACGCACGTACGCACGCATGCACGCACGCAGTCACGCACGCACGCACGCACGCACTCACCCACGCACGCACGCACGCACGCACGCGTTCTATATAATAGAATTATATAATGCGTGCTACCGTGTAAATACTGGTAATATTATTTTGTATGTATACTTAATCTCTGTAAAAGTGAACAATGTGTTCTTTAAGAAAAAATAAAAGTCTTTAACCCGATACTGTGGTCCATAGATACTTAAATTAATACTCAATCAAGAATCAAAATGCAGATGCGTTGTCGCCCCTGAGGACTAAGATGGAATGCCTCATTGCCAGTAAATAGGGTCTTCGGTTCACTACACTCACCATACGAAACACAGCAGAATCGGCAAATCGAAGGTGAATGATGTACTCACCATTGATGTTAATACCGTATCATTTTCAGTCCAGAAGCTTGAAAACGTCTTCCAATACAGCGGTGAAGAGTTTCGGGGATATAACGTCACCCTGTCTTACACATCTCTGCAAGCATTAAGCTGCTATTTTACGTTGGTATTCTGTGAGAGCGTGGCTCTACCACGTTAACATAGCTGCAGCGTGATTCTACAATGTAAATGCTGTTGCCTATAGTGCATATAGTACCCGTTAGGCGCACGTTCTCACAGGATACCAGCGTGAAACGGCAGAATAACGCTGTGTTTCGTATGGTGAGTGTAGAGGACCGGTGACATTTTTTACTGGTAGCAAGGCATTTGATCTTAGCCGTGTCACTACGCATATGAATTTTGATTCTTTAATCAAGGATAGAGGTGTTGGTGATCTTTATAAATAAAAGACCTAAGTGGACTGTATAATAATTATTTAGCCAAATTGTACAAAGTCTGAATGGAAGAGGACTAAACAAACTTATAGCGTGGTCGTCAGTGGCCCAATTCGAAGTAGTCTTGATGACCTTTAATTATCCCCGAATAATAATCAAAATTCAGATGCATTGTCACCCTTGATGACGAAGATGGTGTGCCTCGTTTCCAGTAAAGGCAGTCTTATGTTTTCGTTACTCACCATATTATGGTGGTAATCAAAAAGAATGTTCCTTTCCCGGTCGAGACCATTCGAGCTGCAGTCATATTACAGCAATAGCTGTAGTGACTTTACCATCAATTTTAGACATGTCCAAAAATATTTAAGGAACGGAGGTTGAATATTCTGGGTCAAGATCAAACATATTGACTTTCATTCAGTCTATTGTGATTGCGATCATATCACCTGATTTAAGCCGAGAAAATTGTACAATATCGAAAGTTTTAACACTAACGCATTTTTTCGTCAACTTTTTTATGTGTTCTTCTTCACCAGGTCAATATAGTTCATTAATGGACATGGTCCTCTCCTCTTGTAGAAGTTTCCTTAATCTTCGTTATTATATTATGATATAAAATGAATCTATCAAGCTCTGTGATTTTGTCACATCGATAGAAAGTTTTTACTATAAATATTTGTTCAAATAAAAAATTTGTCGTTACAACTCCTTTAATAGCGTTGTCAGCAGTGAGCACTTAGTTAAAATAATATTCAGCGCGCTCGGCGCGGCGTTGCGTTGCCCGCTTGCCCGAGCGCCGCGCCAATATAGCGTTACGGCGGTGACAATTAAAATGTTGTTAATGGTTAAAATAACAAATGTTATGAGTCCCCGAGGGGTGTTTGATGGGGTGAGACTCTAAGGGCGATTGGGAAAACTGCAATTGTGGAGATCCAATTTAATCTTGGGCTAAACTAATTGCTAGTGTTTTTAAGAATGATACAAAAAGCGCCATATTATTTTTATTGTTTTGAATGTAATGAATATAACCACCGAGCTATTTGCAATTATATTTCTCATATAACAAATAAAATAATAAAGAAAATTGCTTTTAATTATAAGTTGGGGAAAATTACTTCTGAATAACTTTTAATCAAAATTATTGTTTACGTGGTAGTCTCACGCTATTATGTGTGTAGAGTACGTGAGGGTAATATGGTCATCCGGTTAATATGGTCACTTTCTTATAACTCAAAAACTACAGCCTTGTTTGCATAGATGGCTTTGTGATACGATAGCTCTTCATCAATCATTCAAATAATAAAGGGTCAAAAAGCCGCCGCTTTATCGACGCCATTTTGACAGTTGATATTATAGTAAGTACGCGAGGGTAATATGGTCACCTTAAGCTTTATCGCCCTATAAAACCAAAATTAGGAGGAGAACAGAGACAAAAACACAAATTCGTATACTATAACTAATATATTAAGAAAAAAAATAGCAACCAAGCTTTGGAAATAATTAAGAACACCTCGAAAAATCTACATAAAAAAACTGCAGCAATGGGTCGGATCAATCGGGGAAGAATGCACTTACAGTCACAGAGTACCAGCATAAAATAGCGTCGTGCCCTTTACGGACTAAGGAATAGTGTGGTTGTTTAATATAACCCCAAAGAACTTTTTTACCGAAATTCGTCAACCCGATTTAAAGTTTTTACTATAGATATTTATACAATTGCAAAAAAAAAGCAAATAACTTAAACAAATAATTTAAAAACGTGTCTCTAAAGCCGCGTCTCCACCAAAGTTTTGTTGTCAACATAACAGTTTCCATTTTCGGCTTTTTTCCAATGGAAACAACAAAACTTGTTTCCATTTTCGGCGGCAACGTCAAAGGAATACGCTTGTTGCCAACATTTGTTCCCTCGGTGGAGACGCTTGTTGGAAACAGTTGTAAACAGTTGGAAACATAACTGTTGTCAACATTTTTGGTGGATACGCGGCTTTAGAGCCCTCTGGGTTGCATCTGTATTTATTTTCTGAATCAAGAATAGATTTAGGTGTATGTAGGCCACGTGACAATTAAAGCAAATCCTTCCTAAAATTGAAAAGGCTCATGCCCAGCTTTGGACTTTTAAATGCTTTCACTTACCATTAGATGGACTGAATGCTCATATATGTGTAATGGGGAACATTGGGTAGAATGACCTGTTAAGGCCTTGGCTCCCTAATCTACCTAACGACTTGAAAAAGGTGGTATATTCACGATTGTATATAAAACTACCTATTCCCCGCGACCTTATAAGTTTAAAAGTTAAAGTTACAAATTATAAGTCGCCTAAGTTACTCCTTATTACATCAGCAATCTGCCAGTATAAGTACCGACAAAATCTATCAAACAGACAGACAGACAGACAGACAGGACAAAGATTTTATAAATTGTGTTTTTGTTATTAGTACCGTATATACTTTCATAATATGCATTTAGAAAAAGCTGTTATTTTGACATTACAAACAGACACTTCAATTTTATTTATTTATATAGATATATAGATAAATGATAATAGTATAGTTTCAACTCAATTACAATGAAAAAATATAGTTCTTTGTTATTTACAACAATCGTACCCTGAGTAAGCTATTTCGCGTGATGACCGAAAGAAATATGTATCAATCACTATCGCAACAAAGGGAGCTCCTGACTTGCATTTCCAAGGCGAAGTGGATTGCCAACTTTCCAAATAAATATTAATAATATTGAGTAAACAATAAAAGTTTACGAGTCGACGTTCGTACAAAGCACAATGGCCCGTTTCGTTGAACAAATTGATGCACTCTGGTATGACCACAAAATTAGGTAAAGTGAGGAAAAATAATACTAATATATAGAAATGCAACGTAACGTTACACGCGAAATCTATTTCGTGTCATGTACTTCATTTTTATCCTCGTTATTTGGATCAAAAACAGATGATACACAACACTAACAAAATATAGATCATCAGAGTTCATCTTCTTACAGGTAGATAACCACAACTGACATAAAGAGCGAAGTGATTTAAAAAAAAGAAACAGTACAGAAACAGAATATACATGAAAAACCAGATTCGCTACGGGTACAGTTTGTGAATTTAAAAATATAAAAAAAAAGTGTTAGGCCCGCGGATTTAACTTTTTTTTTTCTGTGTTGGGTTATCAGATCCGGAACAACTAGTTACATCATTACAGCCTATCAAAAGTCCACTGCTGAACACAAGACATTTTGATGTTGTTGTGCCACAATACAGTTATATTATGGATACAGCAAGAATGGGTCGGCGTGACCGCGGTAGTACCCGCTGGGCGCTCTCACAGATTACCAGCGTGAAACAGCAGAATAACGCTGTGTTTCGTATGATGAGGGTAGACGACCGGTAACACTTTTTACTGGTAGCAAGGCATTTCATTTTAACCGTAGTGATAACGCATCTTAATTTTGGTTCT